GAGAATGGAGGAGAAGGGATTGCGGCGTGACCATCCCCCCTGGGGGGTGATTTCTCGCTTTCTGTCTCTATGTCTCTCTCTGTCTGTCTGGCGAGCGCATGCGCCCTACAATGAAAATCTCTCAAAACAAACAAACAAACAAACAAACAAACAAAACTCTCCAAAAAAAGTTACATCATCTTAATCTGATTGTCCAAATAATTAAACAGACCTTCTTTTTTAAATACATTTTGTTGTATGTCGTTATGCAATATTATATTAGACTACATATTTTTCTCTAAGCATACCACTTAGTAGCAATATAAAAGACTTTTATTACATGAATTTTTCTAATAAAATATACCTAAACCAAAACTTTATACTTAGGACTTAAGATAGTTGGAAATGAAACTCTAAAATTAAACAAGTAACTTCTAAAGGTGTCACTAAGGCTTATGTATTTTTTAGCTAAGATGCAATCTTTATAAAGACTATTAAATACTAATCATTTATTTTAATAATTAATATATTGATAAAATTACATATTGAAAACAGTTTCAATTTAAAGTAAAAAATTAGTTTTTCATATATATATCTATATGTTTTACATATTGAGACAATTACAGGAGGAAAACCTTCTGAGACACAAACATTCTGAGAAACAAATGATTTCTTGGTTTCTGCCAGTCCACTATTTCTAAAAGGTGAAAAATTGATCCGGAAGTGGCTCACTGCTGTTTCCAGATCGTGATGGGTGGAAAATTCCAGTCCATAGGAAAGGCGATCCCCAGGCCCCACTGTTCTTAGTGACCTTCAGACAAAGTTGAGGTGTGGGGATACAAACTGGCAGCTCAAAGGACCTGAGTGGACAGAGACAACAGTGGTCCTTTAAGACCCAGGTTCACTCCTGGGGAAAACCATTGAGACTAGGCCCTTGGGCTCCCAGCAGGGTTGCAAAAGCTCCCTATGATGTGGAGGCTCTCAGCTCTTCAAGGGACTTGAACACTTGCAGCATCTCCAGCATATCCGCCTCTTGTTTGGGGCATTTGGATCTCTCCTCCTTCAGGTTTGGAACCAGGGAACTTAAGTCCAGTCTCAGCATCAAGTTAACTCTCCACATTTCTGTGGTCTTCAGTAAGGCGGGGGATGTTGAAGGACTCTCTGTTGCCTGGATCTCTCCAAAGACGATGCAGTCACTGCCTGCTCCTCTCTGCAAGCATTGTGCTTGTCAAGAAGCTGACCTTTCTCCTCTATGCAGGGACACTCCATCATCTCCCCCTGAAGGTTGTAAAAAGTCAGCTTTGGACTTGGGTTCTTAGGCAACAGCTCCTTCACCACCTCATCCAGATTTCCAAGTACGAGTCTAAAGAGAAGCTCCACAGAGGACCACAGCCCCTTCATGGCTCTGCAGCCACCACAGGGTCCTGCCTCATCACCGTGGATTTAGTTGCCACAGCAGAGCCTAGGAAACATCTCCACATTCCACCTGGAACCCACCCAGCACCTGGCATTCTGGATTGGTCAGTTATGTGGTTTACAGAGGGGGGAGATGTGGAGAATCAGTTGCATTTCTCTCCACTACTGTTCGATGACCATTCTATTCCCATCCACGCTGTTGCTTTTGTAGCAACCTCAAATAAAAATACAGTGTCATGTGCCATCCTAAGTGACATGACAGTTTGACAACTTTATCCCCCTCTGCAGTAGCCATCACTTCTATCAATACAAGGCTCCTATAGAGTAGAATAGAAAATATCCCATGTAACTTTTTAATCAATACCCACCTTCCATGACCATGTGCAATTTGTTTTGATTTCTATGAACATAAATCAGTTTCAAAAGTTCCAGAATATGACAGAATTAAATAAATCACAATGCACTCCTTGTTGTCTATTTTGACAAAAATGCTCTATCTGATATATGTCCATGTTTCTGTGGAGACAAGCAGTTCCCCTTGTTCATGTGTGAGTTATTACTCTACATTGTGTGAGCATATCACAATGTATTTATGACTATTTGCATTACTTCAAAGTGAGGTAGTAAGGAAACAGTTACTGTGGCTACTTGTCTTCATGTGCTGTTTATAAGCATGTTTTTGTTTGTTGGTGTGTTCTCTGCCCAGATAGAGACAGAGAGCAGGAAAGTGAGAAAACACCTCCCACGTGGGATGGCCACACTACATTGTAATCTCCTCTATTTCTCCTTTCTGGATTTTGGGCACAGCCATGCATCTCAGGCTTGTAATTCAAGTTGTGATTCCAGGATTTAAACATGCAGTTGGCTATTGGACTCCCTCTGCATTAATGACCACACCAATGGATGACCCAAACATGTTATTTGCCCTTTATATAGAAATTCTGGTTTAGGGTATGTAAATATTTCTTGAAGCAATGGTATTGGGCTATAATCCTCAGGTACTAATGTTCAGCCTTTTAAAGAAACAGATGATTGACTTTTGTATTTGTACACAGTCAATAAAAACCACAGTCCAATTAGAAGAATTCAATCACCCAAAAAAGACCCCCTCAACTTTGTTCTAATAACTACATTTTTGTGGTAATAGTGGTGCTAAAAATATTTACTATAAAATCTACTGTTTGAAAAAATTTACACAAAGGCAATACATAAGTGTACAAAGCAATATTGCCAAATGGGACTGAAATAGTACCACGCATTTTTAGGACTTAGTTACCTGGAATAACAGGAAATGTATCAATCCCTCATTAACCTCTCCTCCAATTCCTGGGAACAACAATTCAACTCTGCTTCTATGTTTCACCTGTAATTTTCCTTCTCTTTTATTTTATTTTTTAAGGTCTTTGCATAAATGTGTGCACTCACCAGAGACAGAGAGGGAATGTGAGAAATCATCCATTAGGAGAGAGGGCCATGCCTCAATTCTTTCTCCCTTTTCCTCTCAGGAACTGAGGCTCACACCCACAAATTCTAAGTATTATTTTCAAGCTACCAGGTGAGGGACTTCAACGTAAGGGTTAGCTACTTGAGATCCAGCACCTTACCCACCATGCCCTCTGCTGGCCATTTTACCTAATTAGAGGATCCATATAAGTGTTGTCATGAGATAGTTATCATTTGTAACTGGCTTATTGAATTGGCATAAGGTCCTCAGTGTTCACAATATTGTCATATAATAGAAATTCCTTTAAAATTTATTTTAAATTGTGAAATAATTGTGTTTGGGTGCATACATAGAGCATGGAAATATTCTGTGAAGCTAGGTGAGATCCACCACCAGGCATGAAAAGACAAGCTCTGTACTCTGCCTCTAAGTGAAATGCCAGGACCTTGCTGACTTGGTGATCATAGCTTTGCAGCACATTTTGAAGGACAGTAACATGACACCTTCAGCTCTGTTCATGTTGTTCAAGATTGTTTTAGCTACATGGGGTCTTTAGCACTTCCACAAAAACTTCATGATTTTTCTTCCTATCACTGTGAGAAGAAAATCACTCGTATTTCAATGGGACCTGATTCTTTATATTTAGCTATATTAATTCTTGGAATTCATAAATGGTAAATATCTTTCAATTTCTTTTGTCTCCAACTTCTTTTCTTCTTTTTATTTTATATTTTGCTAAAACACATGCGTGTTCACTGTCAGGACCTGAACAGGATTGATTTCCTCTGTGAAATTGTGACCCTGTGGTCCTGAGGCTCCAGGGGTTACTCCTCAGGTAGGTCTCAGCCTCAGCCTTCCTTTGGAGGTTGGCACCCTGGGCATCTCTGGAGCTTACCTGTGTCCCATGGAATATCCAGCTCCTGAAACTAGCCACATACCTGTCTTCCACCTGTATGTCTAGTTCCCACCAAAAGAGGTGCACAGAGGCAACTCAGCTTCCACAGAATCCTGAATATGCCTCTTGCTGAAGGAATGGTAGGGCAGAGCCTGGAGGAGAGCAGACACAAGGAGATCTGGGAGCCCTGGGACCATGGGACAGGGCTGGGCGGCTGATAATGCAGGTGTTGGCTGGAGGAGCTCATGCTGCTTCCTCCACAGCTTCCTAGCCTGGATGTGAACAGATTCCCTCTGTGGGGAGCTGGAAAGGGGCCCCTCCTATGTCTCAGGTACAGAGCAGGCTCAGGCTCTCCCATCCTCCTGCAAGTATCATTTCTCTCTGTCTCTGACTCTATAACTAATGAGGCACAATCATAATAGGACCTCTGTGCACTTGTAGATGATGGCAGTGGGTGAAGTCCAGGTGAGCCATGTGTCAAGGTCAAGGTCAAGGACTTGTGTCTACAGGAAACACCCAGTGCCCTTTGCTGTGGGGGCAGCTCACAGGTGTGGAATATGGACAGAGGTGATGAGACCTGGTGACAGCAACTGTGCTATGGGCACACATATGAATAGCTCCACAATACAGAAACTTGAACTCTATCAGGATAGGGGAGTGGCAACAACCCTGCATGTCCACAACAAAACAAATGTCTCAATATCCTGAGAATACAGGGGACCAGCTGCTGTGACTTTAGTTCTCACAGGGTCTGGGATGATGGGAACCCCCAAGCTGGGCTGGGAGACTCCCCTCTGCATTGAGTCAGGCCTGTGGGAAGGGAAGTGGGCTCAGGACCACTCAGATAGGAGGTTTTGGTCTCACTTCCCCTCCATGTGTGTCACTGGGTTAGCCAAAGCTGCTCCCACTTCCATGGTCCACTTCACAGTGGTAGTCACTCTCGTCATCTTCCTGGAGGTTCTAGATGGTCAGGAACTGATCTGGGTCAGAGCCTGAGCCTGAGAAGTGATCGAGAGTTCCATTCCCCTTTGATCCCGAAATACCACTAGGGCCTACTTGCATCACAAACCTGGGGCCCTTCCCTGGGCTCTCCTGGTACCAGTCTACATAGTAGTTGCTGTAGCCACTGTTCAGGGTGCAGGTAAGTGTGACTGCTTGTCCCAGGGAGGCAGATGCAGAAAGTGGCTGAGTCAGAACAGGCTGGGAGAGAGACCATGGAAGCACAGATCCTCATTAAGCCTTCAAGGAGGGGGAGAGTCAGTGAACTGTTTTATGAGCAAGGACAGGGTGGAGTTAGGGGACTGGACGTGGAGGACCCTATGGAGGCACTGCCCACTGCCCACCCTGACCTGTGAGAAGAGTGAGGAGGATGAGGAGCAGAGGAGCCCAGGCCATGGTCAGGGTCCCAGTGCTGGATTCTTCAGGTCATCAGCTGAGCAGGGCTCCTGAGTCTCTTATCCCCTCAGCACAGGACTGCACTAGTCAGGACTCTCCCTGCAAACCCTCCATGCAAATCTCCTTCCCACAGAGTGTGCGTCTAACCAGCTCAGGGAGCTCAGAGTGGGAGCTCAGTTTTACTTGATTCCCAGGGTTTGTCTCCCCCTACTGGCCCAGGTTGTTTGAAGGCAAACAAAGTATGTCATCTGTGGAGTTGGTGGCCTATTCTCTGGAAGGCATCTTTTCTGTCATCATCCTTCCTTGGGAATCATCTGTTGACTCAGTGGAGATGTGCCTTCTTCACCCTAGACCTACTCCTGTAAAATGAGTGAGACTGTCCCCCTCCAGGCCTGTCCCACCTGACTGAATCCCAGACCCCCCAGGGCTGATCTGTGCTGACCAGACACCGCAATCTACTCCCCAGACTGAGCTAAGTGAGTTTGGGGTTGTTCTCCACCTCCAACCAAGAGGATTAAGCAGGAAGCAGCTCAGAGACATGGATGAGCATCAGAGAGGCTGCCCTGGCTCCTTGAGGATCCTGATTCCAGGCCTACACTGCCACCTGGTGGCCTGAGGAGGGTTCGCTCAGCCTGGGTGACTCAGGTCTTAACAGCCAGAGCCTGGCCCTGCCTTCTTCAGCCATCATGGCCCAACCCTGAAAGATGAGTCTCAATGGCGAGTGTAGCTTGGGCTTTATCTGAAGAGACCAGGGACAGTAATGACAGCTGCAGCACGTGAGAAAAATGTGTGCACAGGCCTAGGCTTCCGAGAGGGGAATCATAGGAATCTGCTCCACAGAGATAACCATGGTCACTGCAGATGATCCCTAGTTTGTAGAAGACCTGTATCTGAGTTTAGTCTTGAAATAATAATAATATACATAGTACAATAGTACAATGACAAACCTGAGTAATGGTTTGCTAAGGATGTCACAACCAAGAACACAGGCTAGGTGAATCACTTAATTCTGGATTTATAGATTTATTTTCTGATGGTTCTGGAGACTGGAAGTCCAGGGCCAGAGCCTCATCAGGTTTGGTCTCCCTTGGAGCCTGTCTCTGTGGTTACACATGAGCACCTTCCCTCGTGTCTTCTCACGTGCTTTCCTCCTTCCATGTTGCCTGTATGCAAACCTTGCTCTGTCAGAGCACAGCCTTATTGAACAAGGGCCCCACCTTTATGACCTCATTTTTTCCTAGTTACTTCCTGAGAGGTCCTGTCTGTGAACATGGTCACGCTGGAGGGGGGTGGGGTAAGACTGAAACATGTAACTGTTTTCTGTAACAGAATTCAGTCCACAGCAAGCAGTAATCACTGTCATTTTTTATTAATGAGGGGGAGTTATAGCATAGTAAATTATGTAATTGTAGAAATGACATTTTTCAAATATAACTTTTTTCATACAATTTAGGCATTGGAACTAGCAAGCATTTGATCATGGTAAATTATAACATTAAATTGGCCATTTTAGTCACTTCTATGAGCACTTTTTTTTTTTTTTTTTGGGGGGGAGAGATTTTTGCTATAGGGTGCATGTGCTCGCCAGACAGACAGAGAGAGACAGAGAGACAGAAAGCGAGAAATCACCCCCCAGGGGGGATGGCCACGCTGCAATCCCTTCTCCTCCGTTCTCCTCTCGGGATCTTGGGCATGCACACACACGCACCCGGTGTGAGTTTAAGCCACTGGGTCTGGGACTCGAACTGTGGTCAACTATGTGGGAGTCCAGTGACATAGCCATTATGCTAACTGCTGGTCCCGATGAGCACATGTTTTAATCAAGTTGAAATGTAGCATTAAGAGAAGTTAAACCCATCTTTAGTGTAGTCCAATCATTACCATTATCAATGCCCGTGAGTTTTTCACTGTCACAAACAGAAACTCTGTGCCATTGAAATAGTGACACCCTCTCTTTCTTCTCTGCAGTATCTGGTGACCAGTGGAGAATGTAGGGAAGTTGAACTGGATAGGGAGGAAGCTCCCAGGGCTCCATGAACCCACCTCAATGCAGGGAGTGCCAGAGAGGAGAGAATAGAGCTCCTAGTGGCCCCTGGGAGATGCTGATTGACCAAAAAGGCACTTTCTCTGAGCTGTGCTTCTCATCCTTGAGGGACTATGGGCTGACCACTAGGGAACACTGCATCCATGAGCCCATTGGCAATGTGTCCAGCACTTCCATCTCTCCCTCCAAAGTGTGTCATGAACATATCCTGAGAGACCAAGGCTCTTAATGAGACATTTGAGAGGTTATTTCCCTTCTCTACACTTGTTTTCCAACACCAGCTTAAACATCCTCTAGAGATCTGCCCAAAGTGCTGTTTTCAGCCTAACTCCCTCATGGTCAAGGATTCTTTCAAATGAACATGGGTGCTGCTTGTTGTTATGCTGAAGAATGTTTGAATTTCTAGTGAACTGAAATTGAACTATTATATTCCTAATACTATTCATGCTTGTTTATGTGCCATCATATTTCCAGAATTAGAAATGAGTCTATTCTATGTGGCATTTATTTATTTATTTTTATATTTACCACAGAATATGTGAGATCATCAGAGAGAGAGAGAGAGAAGGACAGAGAAAGCAGTGGAACGTGGCTACACAGAATCATTTATCCTCTATTTTCCATCCTGTCAGTATCTGTGTCAAGCACCCACACACACCTCAGCTATTTCTGAAGCTGGCTCTGCCCTGTGTGATCTGGCTCCCAATGTACAGTGCTTCACCCCTGTGCTACAGGGCTGAGCCTGTGCCCTCTATTTTTCCTCCTTAGAAATATTTCTTGGGGACCAGCAATTAGTGTAATGGCTATGTCGCTGGACTCCCATGTAGTTGACCACGGTTCAAGTCCCGGACCTGGTGGCTTAAACTCACACCAGGCGCATGTGCGTGCATACCGAAGATCTCGAGAGGAGAATAGAGGAGAAGGGATTGCAGCATGGTTATTCCCCCAGGGGGTGATTTTCGCTTTCTGTCTCTCTGTCTCTCTCTGTCTTTCTGGCGAGCGCATGCGCCGTATTGGAAAAACCTCTCCAAAAAATTTAAAAAATATATATATATATGTATTTGCATGTTTTGTACCACTCTTCTGTGATGTTGTTTGATTAGGTCCTTTGCTTAAGGGAAGATGTTTGGTCACTGAATGAGTATATGTGTGTTTGTAATCAAATATACATATTCATGTCTGTCTGCATATATTTATATATTTGTTGGACTCTTTTCACAAAGATCCATTGACTCTCCATGGAGGATGGCGGAGCTTGTAGAGTCTAACTATATACTGGGTGTTGGGAGAGAAAGCAGAAAGACAGGAAGCCCGCCATGGTGCCTTGTGCCAGGAGGAAGGAGTGAGAGGGGCCACCTCTCCCCTTTCATTTTTTCCTAAGTGCCTTAGTGTCAGATGATGGAGGAGGGTGAAGAAAAGAGGTTCAGACTGACTGAAATAACCCAGAGTTGGGTGCTACTCCTCATTTTGGCATTCAGACCCTCCTTTTCCAAATGCTTTTTATTTTCAGCCCAGTCTCCTGAGTCAAGTCCCTCCATGTGACTGTTGATGGTGTGTGACTGTCTACCTATGTCAGCCAGAGCTGGCCTGGGTCACTCGAGGCACCTGGACCTTCAGTTGTATGTCAGGATGGGGAAGTCTATGGAAGAATTTATTTTTTCATCTATGGGAAATATTGAGAGAGAACCTCTTAAGATAAGTTATCTTTGGAACAATGTCAGTACATTTCTTTTTAATCATCAACAAAGGGGCCATCACCTGCAGGCACTGAGATTTTTGTCCCACTTCCCCATCTGCCCATGTCTCTGCGAGAACCACTGCTGTGTGCAATCTGACAGTAATACTCAGCTTTGTCCTCAGCCTGTAGCCCAGAGATGTGCAGAAACGCTATGTTCTTTGAGGTATCTTTGGATCCCAGGCCCCAACTGCTTGTCAGAATCTGAGTAATTGTACAGAAACCACCAGGGAGGGCTCCCTGGCTTCTGCTGCTACCGGTACATATTGTGGCCACCAACATTGATGTCACTGCTCAAGGTGCAACTGAGTCTAGTTGTTTCTCCAGGAGATGCAGAAAAAAAAGGGCAGTTGGGTCAGCACAGGCTGGGAGAGGGAACCTGCAGACAAAGACACTCATGGGTAATGGGGTACAGATGAGGGTACACTCCTTAGGGCCTGAGACAGAGGGGCTGATGCGGACCAGGCGCCATCCTTGTGTCTGACACCAGGCCTCACCTGTGCAGTAAGAAAGGATAAAGAGAAGGACAGGAGTCCAGGCCATGGTGGACACAGCCCTGCCGAGGTCCCCGTGCAGGAGCCGCCCTACCCAGGCCTCTTATCTTCCCCATTGGCAGGAAGGAGAGGGGCATCCACAGAGATTTCTTCCCTTGGTGGTGATTTCTGCTGCATCCTGAGTCCAGCTGAAGGTGGATTTTGGCTATCTAGACCAATGAGGCTGAAGCATAAGTCAGAGCTGACCCTATGGGAGGAGGGGGAAGCAGTTGCTGGGCAGTCTAATCCCACACAGCTGTAAGCAGCAGTGTTGGCCCATCCCAGAGCAGGCAGGACTGGGAGTCCCCATCAGCACAAACAGGGTCTCATGGCCCAGCCCTGGGAGTGTGGGGAGGACACAGCTGAAGGCACCCACTTTATAGATTGAGATACACCTGCAGTTCCCCTTGCTGTCCACTGGGAGGAATTCGGTATCCCTGTGGACATGATGACAGGGGCTAGACCTGTTCTCTGGTCATTACCATTTCATGACCATCGACCACACACCCTGGTGTTCCTGAGTAACTAATAATAATGAATACACATTTCCAGGGAGGGCATTTGGACTGCTAGGACGGGAGCCATGGCCAATATGATGACTGTACCCTGTGAGGAGGCTACAGGGAGTGAGAACACAGAGGGCTCTGGGGTGCCGTCTTAAGCATCTCCTTCCTCAGGACCCAGGGATGAAGGTGAATGGGAACGGGGTCTGAGTGAGAAATCTGGCCCTGCATCAGCAGAAACTCAAAACAAGGTCTGAGGAACTGAGCGGGTTTTTAGAAGATGCCCCAGAGGGTGCACGTTTGGCCTTGTGCTACATGATGATGTGCAATCCATGAGGAACGGCCTGTGACAGTGGTGTCATGAGGGACAGAGGCTAGACCCCAGGCCTGGATGTGCTACAGGCTGTCCCACCTAGATTTGTGCAAGTTCTTCCTATAATGTTTGTAAAAATAATTGCCTAAAAGTACATTTTAGTAAGTGTAACCACCACCAGCAGGTGGCATGATGGTTAAGGTGTTGGGCTCCCACATGGCCCAGTTTTGAGTCTCAGACCTGGTGTCTTGCTTTCTCATTCTGTCTCTTTCTGGTGAGTACATGTGCCCAATAGCAAATTAAAAAAATAATCATAAATAAAATTAAATACTTAATAAGAAGAATGAAGAAATGTGGGACCAGCAGATGGTGAAATGGTCATGTAGCTGGACTCCCACATAGTCAATGATGGTTTGAATCCTGGACCTGGTTGCTTAAACTCGCCAGACACATGTGCATGACTGTCCAAGGATCCAAGAAGAGAATGGAGGAGAAGGGATTGTGGAGTGGCCATGCCCCCTTGGAGGGTGATTTCTCACTTTTGTCTCTCCGTCTTTCTCTGTCTCTCTCATGGCAACAAGTGCCCAATAGCAAAAAATGTCTCCAAAAGAAAAAAAAATGTAACCTCAGTGCTCAGTACATAAGATAGTGCCCAGGATACAGGGATGGTGGAAATTACAAGGTGACTGTGTGCAGTTTCCATTGGCCTTGAAGTGACTGAAAAAGTAAGAGTATGTGGATCCAGATTACAAAGACCCTTCTCTGCCATCATGAAGAGACTGAAATATTTTTGACAGTTGTGGGATTGATAGGCTATCAACTGCCCATATTTAATGTGTCTAAATTAGTGTGTTTTGTTATTTATATAAACCTCATCAAAATCAATAACAAATCAAGAACATAAAACATTTGAACATCTACAAAATATACTCATGTCCCTTAGAAATTCTTCCCTCCAACTATTCCTCAGTCCAGGTAACCACTGATTTGTTTTCTCCCATAGCATTTTAGACCTTATTTTTAGAATATGTATATAATTGATATCGTAAGATATACATAATCTTTCTGGGATCATTTATCAGTCATGTTTAAAAATTCAACCCATAAATAATTAACTTCTTGGTATTAATGTTCCACTTTATGGATATATCACAAAGGTTTATCCAAATGCCTACTGGAGGGCAATGGGGATGAGTTATAATTTGCAGCTTCTGTAGATAAAGCTTTTTGAGCATTCACATATTAGCTTTTGTGTATTATTTTATTTTTGATAAACTCAGGATACCCTTGACAGGCTCATGTCTAATCTTTTCAGAAACTGTTCCTTTTCCATGGAGCTTTCACCATTTCTCACACCTTCCAGCAGTGTGGGAGAGTTCTCATTGTGCCCCAAGTTTGCCAACCTATGGCATGGCAGAATCTGTTTTAATTCCAGAGGGCATATGTATATGTGAGAGAATGAGAGAGAGAGGGGCAGAGAGAGAGAGAGAGAGACAGAGAGAGGAGAAAGCACCCACCAATGGGGCTTTATAACCTCACACTCACTTCTCCATTTCTACATGCTGTAGGGGTTTGCCCCTCCACACACACACCAGCCTAGTGTGCTTTTCAAGTGACCAGCGGCCCGTATTTGAAAGGTAGTTGGCCATGTGAGATCTGGATCACTGACCACCAGAATGTTTTTACAAAGTGCAGCTATTAATAGTTGTCTGCAGCACCAGGAAGCCCAGACAAACACAAATCCCCAAAATGGAGCATGCCCAAACTCCAGTGTGAAAGGTGTGAACAGTTGATTCCACACTGAGTGAGTTTCTTTGCCAGAGGAAATCCAGTGGAATAGGGAATGGAGATGTGTACAGTCCTGCCCCTGCATCAATCTGTTCATGTAGAATCAGCTTCCCCCTCAGAGAGTCTGGGTTCTCCCTCCTCCTCACTTCCCCCTCAGCCCACAGCAGCAGAGGCAGAAGAGGCCCTGGTCACATCAGCAGTGAGCTCAGAGCCCTCCAGCTCTGTCTGGGATGTGCTCAGAGTCCTTCCACCTTCCCTTTATCCTTTTTTTAAAAAGGAGATTTTTGCTACTGGGTGCATGTGCTCACTGGTGAGACAGAGACAGAGAAACTGAAAGTAAGAAGTCACCCCCTAAAGAGGATGGCTCATGCTGCAACCCCTCCTGCTTCAGTCTCCTCTCAGGATTTGGGGATGGACACACACACACACCTGATGTGAATTTCAAGTCACCAGGTCCAGGACTCAAACCATGGTTGGCCATTGGGGAGTCAACAGATGTAACCATTACACCATCTGCTGCTCACCCACCTTTCCTTTATATGTTGCCAAAGCTATTGCACATTGTTAGTAAGCTCGCATCAGAATTTCTCCTACATGGAACAAAATACATAATACTTTTCTATGGCTGATATGAAAAAT